GGGCCATCCTCTTCTCCCCTGCAAGCCGCTGGGCAGAATAATTAATAAAAACATAATTATTCCTAATTGTGACCCCATTGAGGGCAAAATGCAAACACGGGGCTTGTAGAGTGCCCGGGACGGAGGTGACAGCTCCAAGCGCAAGGAACCCTCTGCATCTTGCAGCAGCAGCCTCTTCCCAAAGCCCTTCAGCGCTAGCAACACGCTGAATTTCCTTGCATCCTTCCTGATCCAGGAAGAGGAATTCCAGCTGCTGGCACAGGGGGGTTCCTTGCGGCACCTCCTCCGTGGAAGAGCCCCGGCCCCGCAGCCCCAGCTAACGGCTCCCCGAGCCTCCCGCTCAGCTTCCTCCTCCGAGGTCATAATTGCCATTAAATCACAGCTTGCCTAACCAAATTATGCAAAACCGAAATTATCTCCAATGATTTTTATGTCGCTGAAATGTTCCAGAACTGCCGGGGTGACGACTGGGGGATTGGGAGCAGCTGTCACTCCATCGGAAACCGTAACTCCCAACAGCTGGGAGCTGTCAGTTATTTATGACGCCGTTTGCAAAATGAAAAAAAAAAGGAAAAAGAAGAAGGAAATATATATGTGGAAGGTGCATGGGGGGTTGCAGCTGGCAGGGCCAGCCAAGCCAGGCCTGATGCCGGGGAAGGCAGGGCCGGGAGCGGGCCTGGGAGATGCTCCGCGCCGCGGCTGAGCGCTCGCTGCTGCTCGCTGGGGAATTCAGGCTGTGACAGTCAGGATGGGCTTGTTTATTTTATCCTCTGCCTTGCAAAAAAAAAAAATATATATATATATATATTTATGCAGCTACTAACCATAGGTCTGACCCTGCTTTGTCAAAGTGTCCCCAATCTGAAGTCCCTGCTCTTGGCTCGTGCCCGGTGGTCATCCCTGCTCTGGTCTTTTTTCTACCCCTTCCGTGGGCACTGCCCGGCCAACACTTGGGCCTGCCACTTCTCCACGATGGCAGCTCCTGCGGCGCGGTGCCGACATCCCCTCCGGAGCCGTCTCCCAGCTTCCCAAGGGAGTTTTCCCTGGGGGTCACCGGCATGTCTGGGTGTCCCAGTTCTCTCAGGGTTGATTCCCGAGGCGTCGCGGGGTGGGCGGCGGGTGCGAACGGGGCGGCGGGTGACATCTGGGCCCGGGTGCTAGGCCAGGCGCGAACGCGGCCCCGGCGGGGATGAGAAAGCTCCTGCCTCCCGGAAAACACAGCCCACGAGCAGCAGCCGGGTGCTTCGTCCCCACTTGTAGCGCGCTCCGGTTAAGTATTATTATTTATGCCATGTAGTGGCTATACATAGTGTTTTATGGCTGCAGAAACACATAAATCAGCCACCAGAAGACCAGGGCTCTGCTCTGAAGAGCTTATAAATCCAGCAGCCCAGGCAGGACCTGCAGAGCTGCCAGGGGTGCGAGTCCAGGGCTCCCAAAGCAGACGGTGTCGAAGGAGAGGTGCAAAAAAGCAACAACCCCCTTGGTCCAGCTTCTCCGGGCAGAGGGGAAAAACCATCAGTGTCAAGAGAGGTGCCGGCTATTCCAGCCTGCCCCAGCATCCCGGGTGGAAAAAAAACCAGTTTTTTCTTCTGCCTTCCTGTTCTGGCACCGGCGTGGGCAGGAACATGGTCTGGAAGAGGCATCCGGGGAAGATTTGCCGCGTCTGGACAAGGCTGCTGTCTCCGGGTGTCTGCATTCTCCCGGCCGTTTCGGCTCTTGCACAAATTGAGGCTTAACACTAAATGCATTATGCCGTATAACAATTAATCCCGTGCTACATATAGAAAGTCCTTACTCATCAATAATGCATTCGGGAGGAGTGATTTTCACTCTCAATAATACGGCTAATACAATGGAAACAAGCAGGTAATGAAGAACATTTATAATGATGTTAATCTAATAACGAGGATAACGCTGTTAAAAGTAAGACTGCAAACTGGACACATCCAAAGATAAATTATTTCAAGCGTTCATTAACTAATGCCTAATTAATGCCCAATTAGAGAGATGCTGCATGGGAAATGGTTTGGACAGTCCGGCGAATTCATCCCAGTCACCGAGACCTCGGTCACAAGCGAGGGGATGCAGAAGGACGCGGCGAGCGGGGCTGAGCGCTGCCGAAGCCGGACGGTGGCAGCGGGAAGGCGGGAGATGAAGAGCTCCTGGCTGGTTTTATCCGTGTCGACGGGGCTTTGTTTTCATTCGCTTTGCTGGCAGGTTCCTGCAGCGTTTTCCCGTTCGGCTTTTGAAGCTCTCCCTCCCCTGACACGCGCGCCGGCGACCCTCCATCTGCCTCGCAACCTTTACAAGATGAAGTCAAAAGGTTTCCGTCCGGAGCAAGGCGCCCGCCGAGCCGGGCAGGAGCCGCATCCTATGGGAGCAACCTCGGGCCGGGGCAGCTCCCGATGGAGCTTTTCCGACTGCAGGAGCCAGGCGGAGGCTGAAGCACCGTGTGGCCCCAGCCGAGCTCAGCGCAGCACTGGGGTTGATGCTGGAGTTTCAAGCACCGTGATCGAGGCTGGGTTGTTTCTATAGCTCTGGTATCCGGATCTAAAAATCCTGACTATTCCAGCACTGGGCAATCAGCGGATTTTATGGGGTTGGAGAAATAGCATCCTTGAGAAGGCCACATGCTCCGAGCACATCCATGCCTTTTCTCTTTCCAACACATTTCCTCCTCTGAAGTCCCACCCATGTTTATATATATTTTTTTCCTGAGAGCTCAACCTTGTTCCATTTCCAAATTCTCCTTATCCTCGTGTTGCAGTACACGAGTGGATCCAACCCTGGTTTTTCCTCCTACTATCTTCCTCTTGAAGCAATGCAAGATGGTGCTGCACCTGGAACAACCCTCAACCGCCTGCTGCAGCAGGAGATGCTTCTTTTCCATAGGAACCTCAGGCCAGAGTCATAAATATCCATGAGTTCATGGACCAACACAACAGGGTTCCTGCCGATGTTCACAGAGATATTACCTGCCAGCACTCTGTTTTGGAAGCATTTGGGACCCTGATTTCATGCAAGGAAGACCCTGGTCACCTCTGTCCATTACCAGCATCACTAGGAGCATCCTGCCACTGTCATTCCATACGGGAAATTCAGCAATCCCATCAACTTCCAGCTCTTGTGTTGGGGAGCTGCACATAAAACTGCCCTCTGGAAGCAGACACGTTCCGCTGACCTGCTGCTTAAGACTGGGAGATGCTTTATTGATTCAGGACCTCATGATTTGGTATTTGCAATAACAGGTTCCGCACGCTTGGGCCCGACAGGGTTTCGCTAGCGAGCAAAGGAGCTGCACGAGTCTTGGTGTCGCCCAGATAAAGCGAGGAAGTGTTTTTGGCAGGGAGGAAGCAGCGCCTGGCACGAGACCCACACGGTACCTGGTGCTTCACCTCCGGAGGGCAGAGCTGGAAAAAATTCCCCGTGCTCCTCGGGCAGGAGGCCCGGGCAAACACTTTGGCCATGTTATCTCTAGCTGTGCTATTTTTTAGTGATAGTGCAGCCCAAGATGACTGGTCCTTCCTGATTATTTCTGAAGAGTCTGAGTAATAACATCTTTTTCCTAAAAATTTTGCATTCCAAGAATGCATCCCAATGCACAGGTCACCTGCTATTAACCATGCAGCAATAACTCTCCATGCAACGCAAAAGGCAGCACTAGCCCGTGAGCTCTATTTTAAACAAAATGAACAAGAAACCAGATTTTTGTTTTGCTTCCCACATGTATTCAGCTCCAGGTGCTTAACGGGGGATTATAAGAGAGTATCTGGAGATAACAGCGCAGGATAATTAGAGGCAACCCCCTGCCACCCTTGCTTTTTGGGATTACTGCAAGTAAACAGCAAAGCTAAGGATGGCCGGGTGGGACGGTCGGTGCTCGGAGCTGCATTCCGGCACCGCCGGTTTCGCTCCTTTGCGCTTGCTGTGGATGCATCTCCGCTGGCTGCTCTCCCTACTTGCAAACTTTGGCACCTGCCGGGGCGAATTCCCCAGGGAAAGATTCCTTTTCCCTGCTAGGGCTCAAGGCAGCCAAGGAGGCGCTCCATAGAGCATGACTGCGCCATTGCATGCGACGGACCCGCTCGTTTCGGTGGATAACTTGTGATCCCAGAAGGGAGACAAGTTAACCGGGTGCGTTTTTCTCTGGGAATAATCCTCGCCGCCGATGTCAGGCGGGTGGGTTGGAGGGAGTCGCGCGTCTTCCCCCGGCCTGATCCCACTCTCGCCTCTCTCCGCACAGGGGGTTTCGCGGAGCTGCTCCTGGTGCTGCTGGGGCTGAAGGTCCAGGTGGCCGTGGGCTGCCCCAGCGACTGCGTGTGCTACCCATCACCCATGACTGTCAGCTGCCAGGCCCACAACTTTGTCACCATTCCCGAGGGCATCCCCGAGGACAGCGAGAGGATCTTCCTCCAGAACAACCAGATCACCTTGCTGCTGCGGGGCCACTTCAGCCCCTCCATGGTCACCCTTTGGATCTACTCCAACAACATCACCTTCATCGACCCCAACACCTTTGAGGGCTTCGTGAACCTGGAGGAGCTGGATTTGGGGGACAACCGCTACTTAAGGGCTTTGGCAGCGGATACCTTCCAAGGGCTGGTGAAACTCCATGCCTTGTACCTGTACAAGTGTGGGCTGAGCTCCCTGCCCAGCGGGATCTTTGGCGGCCTCCACAACCTGCAGTACCTTTACCTGCAAGACAACCACATTGAGTTCCTCCAGGACGACATTTTTGTTGACTTGGTCAACCTCAGCCATCTCTTCCTGCACGGAAACAAGCTCTGGAGCCTCCACCAGAACACATTCAGGGGCCTCGTGAACCTGGACCGGCTGCTCATCCACCAGAACCAGCTGCAGTGGGTTCACAGGCGGGCTTTCCACGACCTCCGGCGACTGACCACCCTCTTCCTCTTCAACAACAGCCTCTCGGAGCTGTCGGGCGACTGCCTGGCCCCGCTGGGGGCCCTGGAGTTCCTGCGGCTCAACGGGAACCCGTGGGGCTGCGACTGCAAGGCCCGCTCGCTCTGGGAATGGCTGCGGCGCTTCCGGGGCTCCAGCTCGAGCGTGCCGTGCGAGGCGCCCGAGCGGGCGCGCGGCAAGGACCTCAAGGCGCTGCGGGCCGAAGACTTTAGGAACTGTTCGGG